TCGTGTAATTTTTAAATTTTATTCAAGCGTTAAAATATTTTACGACTATTTAATGATTGTCAGTAATTATTTCTTATCGGTATTTTTATTGCTATTTTTAGACTTCCGAATAGAAAATATGGATACATTTACTTCCGAAAATAAATTTATGATGCACTTACATGCACAATGAACATTGTCTAGCATTGCATTTATACAAAACTATCAATGGAGCACTTAATATAATTATAACTTAATTATTCAACAATGTTGTAATCTTACGCGATAATGATGAATGCTCTTATAATTTGTCCGAAATTTTAGTCATCGTTGATTGAAAATTAAAATTTTTATTAGCTGAAGAAATACAATTTTTTACTGTATATAAAAAATATTTCATAAACATAACACATGTAACTCACAGATATACTCATATGTAATGCGTCTTTTTTATTTGCTTCCCTTTAAAAAAGAATAAAAAAGTAATATTTTTATCACCAGTTGGCTCATGTCTGAAATAAATTCAAATGTTCCTATTGATAAATAAAGTAAAAGTTCTCCAGCAGGAAGCCTTAATTAAACCGTTTCTAATTTTTGTGTAAATTTGTGATCCTGATCTCTCATATGATTTTGTATAGCGAAGAAATGCGTTCACGCATACCAGACTAGGTCTTTTGTCTGGATATGTCGGGCTCAATACTGCCTGGGTATAAAACCGACTAAAACTTCCGCTTGGCCGTTAGGGGGCGTCTATTAAACATGTGATCGATTTTTTAAGAATTTGTGGACCCTCCCTCCCCCTTGGTGTTACGTGGTAATATTTAATATTACCCCCTCTCCCTCACCAAACATCACGTGTATTTTTAGTTACGAGAAAAAAATGTAAAATTTTTGAAATTTTTTGAAAATGTTTGAATTCTTTTTTTAAAAAAAGTAGATAAAGAATAAATACACGTAATATCTTACTATGCCCTTCCCTCCCTCACGTGACATTTTGTGATTTTTTGTCAAACCCTCTTTAGATTTTTGACCATTGATCACGTGAGGCTTTTAGGGGGAGGAAAAATCACGAAATATCATAAATAAAATATGATTTTTTTCCCAACTAAAAATATACGTGATTATTGGTGGGGGAGCGGAAGTAATTTTAAATATTACCACATATCACTAAAGAGAAGGGGGTCTAAAAATCCTGAAGAATCGGTCACGTGAATAATGGACGCCCACTAGACTTCATGGGGGAAGCCTTTAGAATTCTCTATTTCTCACTAATATTTAATTCGTCTCTCATTCGTAATTTCGTTATTTGCTAAACTGAATCCCCTGCTAAAAAAATTATTAAATATTCTGTAATTGAGATTTTAGCACAGGTATTTGGTAATATTTCTAAAAAAAATAATTCAGTAGCGCGATGCATATAGAAACAAATCTCTTGTTATACATTTTTAATTATACTTACTCTCATTGAGTATTACAAATACAAAATTCACTTTAACTCATTTCTTGTTTACTATGGCTATTTGATTTGACTCTAAAGTAATTAAAAAACCTCATTATCAACAACTATTAATTGTTGTTTCTATTAATATAACTTCTGTAATTACCTCATATTGTAAGACATCATTTGTGCAATGACAATCAATCGATCGTTTGCTTAAAAGCATCATATTCTTATAAAATGTAGTTGAAGTTAATGGTAATTATTCTATGAGGAAATAATGCAAATACAAAAAACGTCTTATTCGAAGTTATTCCTCGAACGATCGAGCGTCCATAGTAGTTAATTGCCACAATTCATCAAAATATTCCGATATTATCGTAAGGTGAAGAAAACACATTTAGGTTTATTCAATTTCGGTTATATATAGATGGTAGTTCTTAGAATTTCGTTTATTTTTAGCAAAAGCTCTAAATACAAATAAGACATGTTTTTAAGCTTATGCATGAAATCAATAATTTGTTTATTGGTGAATTCAAATGTTCAAATGTAATAAAAATCGAATTTATAAATCATACGTTTTAATATTATTTTAAATGTAAACAAAATATATAAAAAATATGAATAGATTATATAGAAATAGTCTTAATTAAAAAATCGTGCTTTCTGTAAGTCACACTAGATTTTTTTGTATTATGAATTTATTCATACCACATTTATCAATTTTGCACAATCAATATTTTATATTCGTAACTATATACATGAATTTATTAATCATAAATATTATATAATTATAATTGTACTAATAATATTTTTGTTTTTCTTGGTCACTACAAACACTTCAAAATATTTTAAAACTTTTCGACGAGCTGATACTGATACGAGATATATATTAAATATTATATTTATATAAATATTTTTAAATTTTTATTATGCATGTTTAAAAAATGTTTTCAATTTTTGAATTACAATTACAATTGAACATTATAGAATTATTATACCATTTATGCTTTTAAAATTGTTTTAATTTATATTGTACAAATAATTAACAGATGTATTTGTCATATTTCTTTGTCTAATAAACAACAACATTTTATAATTTACCTGCGAGTTTACAAAAAAAAATCAATAAAATTTGGAACGCATACTTTTATGAATGCATTATCTAATTACATTTTGGTAGTAAAAATTCGCTAAGGTATTGCCTTTGGGAAATAAACAGAGATAACATTAATTTAATCTATTACATTGAATAATTAACATTGCAGCACTTCTGGGAGTTCAAATAACATATATTCACTTCATAGAGAATTTTTTATAACAGAATTCTAAGTAAAGAAAATATTTTAAAACTCGCTTTTTTCAATTACAAGTTGAAAAACTTAATGATGAAAGAATAATTTAATTGTAATATACGAAAGCGTTTGAAATGTTTTTCCATTTATTTTTGTCTATATTGATATAATTTTCTACTATTTTTTTATCAGTTGATCTGTTCTAATGTACCTGATTAAGGTACAAAAATAACAATTTTATGATCCTAAATATAGAATATAAAAAAGTTTCTATCTCGGTGTCTGAGCCAACTTATTTAAGAGTGCTCAGCGAAACTAATCTGATTCATTTAGTAATTGTGTGAATTAAGTCACAGCATAAGCCGTTTTACGTTAATTTATTTGATAATAGTAATGGCAGTATATTATAATTTGAAAAAATATATTAGTAATTATTAGAATCTAACAAAACTTGATTATAGTATGACAAAAATAGCGAAATATTTTCATATATTTTTAAGAACATTTTTGATCATTAAAATGCTTAATTTTTATACATTAGATAAATTGTTGCGAATAAATTCCGGCTTTTGCAATTGAATTTAAATTTTTTAACTAATTCCAAACGCTCGTAGATTTTTTTAAGGATAATTACAATAAAGTTCATCTAAATTTCGCTCTCAAAATAAATAAATGTGATATAAAACAATATCATATTTGAGAGTATGATTTCAAGGAAAAATCTGGTAGAAAACTGCTTTGATACCGACTGACTGATGATGGGATACATAATACATTATTATGCGAACGGTGACCAACGAAGATAGTAAGCTTTTAGTCTACAAGACTTTAATTTTATAAACTATTATTTTACAAACTATTATTATATATATATAATATGTATATATGTTAAATATTTCTTACTTAAAACATATGAAGTTATAAGTTGCAAACATATGATATAGGCATAAGTACTTTGAAACATATAATAGCAAATATGCAAAAAAAACTAGTGGTGCATTGTATCATGCATTAAGGCAAATACTAGTACTTTCCGTACCAAATATTAAACTTTAATTTATTTTAAAAAAATATCATTTTTCCATATTTTGATTTTTTTTTAATTCAACTAATTTTTTTCAAAGCAATTGCGCTAAGTAGCTGTTTTAGAAACGAAATTTCGAAGAGCGTAATTGCCGGGTCACAAATCTAAACATTGGTACGGAACCCATATAAACGTAAACAAAATTTGTATTATTAAAATCTCCATAAAATATCTGATAATTTGATGTGCATATTGTAACGACAATTGGCACAGGGTATTTATAGAAATTGGGTTGAGGAGTTGTAGTAACCCTTTCGTAATGGGGATGCAATGCCAAGATATAATATTTGGGAGTCGTTGCAAATACCCCAAGAAAGGGGCTTCAACCTTTTTATCCGTCACAATATGTCGAATGATTATTCTTGACCGGTAAATGTCTTTATTTTACTTTCTTTGATTTCGTCAATACAAATATGATTTTCTGAATTTTTCAAGTCTGACGCTTCGTTCTCTCAAAAACTGCATTACCATTTTTGGCACTTTTTGCCCCATATCTTTGAAACGACTTGATCTGCCAAAAACTAATCAGCACGTCTTCCCGTCAATGGGAATCGAATGTTTTTTGTATCATTCAAATTGGTTGATCCATGCGCCCGAAAACGTCGAATTAAACCTGTATGTCACGGTATTAGAATTTCTCTGATACTGATGACTTTTAATTTTATACAGAAATGCCTGGAATTAGCTATTTCCACTTATTGTTAAATATCTTAACAAGTAGAGCCTAATGTACAATCCTTCATGTACGGAAATATGAAAAAGTTTTATCACGATGTAGCAACATATAAAAATGCACGATTGTGAATCGGGCGATCAACGTGTTATGTCACATAACACTAAAGTAGCTGATTTAGAATCATTAACCCTGACCATCACACATGTATATGGTTTATGCATATCATAATATGCTCTTCTTCCAATTTCAATTTGATTGAAGACGATATTATGTACATTCAGATTAACAAAACAATCGCAAATGTTTGACCCCGGCCAATACGCGGTCAGTACATGCGTGTGTGTATAAATATAGTATAGGTGGCGTACACCGACGGCAGGGTATATTATTTGTGCGGTGTCAAATCGGACCATTAATAAGTGTAACAACTCCGCTTGAGACGCATCGGAAGATGAGCTACCGTTAATAAAAAAAATTAACGGTTTTTCTCATCATTTTTTTTAAAATTAATTTTTTAATTTAAACTCTTTATTCAACCTATCGATTATTTTTAGCGCGTGCTTTTTGTATTAAATAAAGTTAATCAATTCTATGTTGTGTTGTTAGTTGTTGGTTCAAGTGCAAGGCGAGAGGTGCAATAAGGAAGGAAATTGAATTACTTGACGTTTATATGACATTTGCAACGCGTGAGGTTTGTTTTCATGATATTATAATTATGGTAATAATATGTTTTTATAATTTAATATTGGATTGATGAATTTAATTATATGTATAATTCCTATCATCCCAAAGAAAGTCATGAGTACTTTTTTTTAATTTTTAAATTTATAAATTTGTCAATTTTGTATTTTTTAAATTTTGTATTTTTTAAATATTTTATTTTTTTCAATTTTTTCATTTTTCAATTTTTCAATTTTCATTCTTTCATTTTTAATGTTTAGCATTTTTCAATTACTCCATTTTTCATGTATTCTATTTTTCAATTAATCCATTTTTTCAATATGTTCTTTCAATTTTTAATAAGTGAATTTGTAAGTTTTTCAATGTTTCATTTCTTCAATTATTCAATATTTCAATATTTCCTTTTAACCTTTAATAAGCAAATTGTAAGTCTTTCAGTGTTTTATTTCTTCAATTTTTCCATTTTCTATACTTTATAACTTTTCAATTTTTTGTTTTTCAATTGTTCCATTCTTATTTGTTTCCGTTTTTTAACCTTTCCATTACTTTAATTTAATCATTAATAAGATGAATAATTAATATATAAATACATTTGACAACTATTGAGCAACTAGATTAATTTCAAACACCATATTTTACAAGTATGTATTTTTAATGGTCAGAAAATTTTGTATATTTAAAGTAGTTTTTTTAATCCTATAGTTCAACTTGTTATCCCTTTAAGGACAGGTGTAAAAATTACCAAATAATAAACAAAAACTTTATACGATTAGTTAAACTTATAATTATAATCCCTTCTCTATGATCTACAAAAGTGAAATTTTATATGTATATTTATGTGTATATTTTTATATGTAAATTGTAAAACACACCATAGTAAAACATATAAGTACCAGAAACTTTTTTTAAAAATTTCAAATTCATTTTTATTTTAATTAAGGAATTGTAGGGATAAATAAATAATATTCAAATACAGTTAACAACATTTAATAACGATTAATTTCAAACACCATATTTTGTTGTCCGAACGATTTTATATTTCTAAAGTCGTTTTTTTATTTCTGCAGTTTTATTTGTTGACAATTTCAGGACAAGTGTAAAAATCACTTTATAATAAAATATACGAGCAAACTTTATGATCCATGCTCATGAGAGTTTTGCAAAAGTGAGTAGGATTTATAAAAGTGATTTTTTTATATGCAAATTAAAAAATATACATTATAGTGAAATATATAAATGCCAGTAGCTTTTATAAAATTTTAATTTTATTTTTTTTGTAGTTGAGCAATTAGGTGGGTAAATAAAAAATATTAAAATTGACAACATTTCAACGATTAGTTTCGAAGACCATATTCTACAAGTAATTTTAATGGTCAAAAGATTTTGTATGTGTAAAGTCATTATTTTAAATCCTACAGTTTTACTTATTGTCCATTTCAGGACAGATGTAAAAATTACTAAATAATAAATTTTATTTAAAAAAATTATACGATTAGTCAAACTTATAATTATAATCCATTCTCATGAGTTTTGCAAAAGTGTCTATAAAAGTCATTTTTGATGTGTAAATAATAAAACACACCATAGTAAAACATAAGTTTATCTTTATGTTTTAGTAACTTTAACCAGTAACTTCTTTTTAATTTTTTAATGTTTCTTTTTTTTAAAAAATAGACAAATTCCCTACTCTTAAGTAAGAGTATAAATAAATAATATACAAGTATATTTGATAACATTTCAAACAACATCTTTTACACGATGAGTCCAATTTTATAATCCGTATTATAAAAAGTAATAAAAATTAACTTAAACACTTTCAATAATAAATAATTGGTTCACTAGGATGACAAATATATCATGAATTTTGCAAAAGTGACAATAAAATATTAATGTCAATATTGAAATTGTCTTAAATAAAATAATTTATATGTACACAAGAAAAAATGCGTTGCCAAAATATAAAAATGTTATTGATTATTACTTTATTATTATGCAGAATAGTTATGGGTCTGAATTATTTATTTCAAAGATTATTTTCTCTGAAGTTCCGCAAATTTAATAATAGAGATCATAATTTTTGCATTGGCGTCTTATATTTCCATGATAGTTTAAATTAATTTGTAAAACATAGGGAAGTGAAATTATGTGCATTAATGAAGATTAAAATTCATAGTTTATGATCAAAATTGGAAAGCTTTTTTTGCGTGAAACCAAAAAGCTTTAAAATTTATTATATTAATCATTTTCAACTATAAATTATATAAATAATTGAAACATAGTTGAATATTAATTGTATTTTCATCATTAGTTTTTTAATTATTAGTTTTATTTATTAGTTTTAGAAACATAATAATTAAAAGAATGAACATCAGTATAACATAAATATACAAGCAATTTGGAATGTAATAATAAAATTCCTTAATGTACGTGAACAATATTATCAATACAGTCCAATTTGTTAAATAAATGTTTATTGATAAAAAAGTGGCCAGGAAAAAACTCTAATTAATTTCGAGATACAGTTAGTTATTCGAGTTATCATCCACAAAAATCATGAAAATTAAAACAATGTGCATCAATAAAAAAGCGTATATAGTCTAAAAATAAAATGAATGGGTAAAAAATTAATAGTTCTTGGGAGTAACTAAAATCAATTCGAGATCCAAAATCATGAAACTGAAAGTGAGATATGTAATCATACGCGTGCTCCGAAGAAGGTCAATATTGATAAAATGAACTAATTCATCATGCAATTAACATATTATTAATTTAACTGATTATATACACGTTATCAACCTGATAATTTTGCAACTTGTTGCGATGTGACGAGCCCACGTTATTAGAGGATTCTGTAAAAATATTTATGAGCCGCATGTTTTGATAAGATAACAGATGAACAATAAAATAGCTTATTGGGAATTTTATAATTCAAATTCGTTCAAGATGATAATCTCGATTCTTGACGACAGAATTAAATTATATTGAATTTAATACGGTTGCTTGACAATGCAAAGATCATTTGTTTATTGAACTGATAAAGATATCATAAAACGATTCCGTTGCATGGACAATCTTTATTTCAGAAGTTAATTGGGGCATGAATGATTACTTCAAGTAAAACAAATATGATTTATTACAATATTATCCATCAATCAAACGGCAGAATGTTTTTGGTTTTCGCACAGCTAGATTTAAGTTAATTATTGATCGGAGAAAGATTGAGTAGAAACAGGTGTTTTTTTCTTAATTTTACCATATAATTTACAACTATCCGTTTTACAACTATCCGAAATATACGTAAAATAATTTAAAAATATTGAATGTTAAATTTTAAATGAACGAAAAACATAATAATATTCATAAATAATTATATAAGCAATAAAATGATGGTTACAATAATTGCAGTACTAATATAAAGTTTACCAGATTTAAATGTGCGGTTTTATATGTTGCCCTGAGGAATATTTCTATATGAAAACTTACTATAAGTTTCAGCTTTGATCAAAGCAAAGTGTATTTTTTCAGTTATTTACCGCTTATTCACAATCATTAAAAGTTAAATTTTTTACTACTATAGCTTTGAATTAAAGTATTTTTTTAAAATAACTAATTGAGGCAATATTATAAGAGAAAAAATAATCTAACTAGCTATATAATAAATATAGTTATATGTTATATGGTTGTTGGTTTATTATCACCAGTTATTAAAAAATTACAATTTTATTAAAAGTTCTACGTCTCATTTAAAACTAGGGCATAGCTAGGTGCGAGTAGATAATATAAACAATAGTGATCAAGAAAAGTTTCCATAATTTATTGTGATTTACATGAAGAAGTTTATTTTATTAGATCGTATAAATTTTCAATGCGTATACACTTACACACAGATATATATATATATATATATATATATATATATATAATAAAAGAAGTTTTTATAGGTACCCATCCACTTATTAAAATTAAAAGTAAATTAAGTTTAAAAAATTTGTAAAAAACTAAAATAATTATTAGTAAAATAATTTCTTTTATACTTTCCGAGTCCTAGATCGACACTTCTTCAGTGGACACAACACACGAATTATTTAAAATAAAAACAGAAAATAAAACAATAAAAAAAAATTGATTTACTGTTATGTTTGTAAAAAAGAATTATATATGCAATTTGAAAAATTAAATTCAAAATAATATGTAAACGACAACAATTTTGAACGAAATATTTCAAATAACTGATATTAGTGTGTGTTGTGTCTACTTAAGAAGAATCAAACTGAAACTCGAAACACATGGAATTTAAAAAAAAATTGAACATGATTTAGTTCTATTTTTCAATAATATGTGTGCATATTAGAAACCGATTATTTTAATTATTTATATTTCACTATCTGAAAAATGATGTACACATTAGTAGAGTTTTGTATTATGTGTGGAACAAATATAAATTATATGAATATAAACACACCACACTCTATTTATGTAGGACATTGTTTCATAAAATTAAAAAATTACAAACTTTTGGAAGCTGTGAATTGTCCCATCGGCAGCCTCAAATTTTTACAGAACAAAATATTTATTAATACATTGCATAAATTAAAATTTCTTATTTTAAAATATGTTTAATTATGAATAGTAACAATTTAATTTAACTACTTTCTGTTATAAAGATAGGTATGGTTATTGAAAGAGAAAGTGATTTATAAAAGAATAGAAAAGGCTTAAAGGTCAGCGGGTAAAAAGGTTCACAAGGACCTCAAAAACAAGTAAACTTAGAAATTTTTTAACAACATTATTTGATAGAAGGCAAAAAATGTGTAACTAACTATAGCCATAAATTAAAAAAACTTCGCTATCAGGCCATGTTTAAAATTCTTTAAAAAAGGTATTTTTTTCGTTGTTAGTTTTTTTATTGTGGGCACTGTTGTTTAGCTTACGAAACTTCAATATAATTTTTAAGTATACGTTATTTAACTTTTGAGTTTGATTCAACAGTCTTTCATATAACCTCTATAA